TATAAGTCACAACGAAATGTAGCTAAAAAACAACCTTATTATCTGAATTTGGCCTTAACTACTTGAAGAAAAGGGGAGTGGAAGGTTTCCAACGTGTATGACTTTGTTAGCTAAACAGCTTAGCCTTCATTAGTTACACATGCATTTAAGAGAAGCTTTTTTCATTATTAAGAGTTGTACCTTGCTTTTTAACAGTGACCGAAGCATAAGCGCTGCCATTGTGCAACCAGGTTTCAAATTTATCCTTCAACAGACCCACAGCGCGAGTGAAACTTGACGCTTTAAACGTTTTCCAGAGGACAGTACAGAGTGCTTGCAATTTATCCGATGTACAACACATGTAGACGGACTATATATAAAAGAAGGATGGGTTGGATCATTTGTAAATCTGTAAAACTATTGCGTTACGTCCATTCGCTGTTTTTTTAAGTTGGGCGGGACATAACTGAAAATCAACCAATCATATTACTTCGTTTAAAATCGTAAAATAGGAAGGCGCTGATTGGCTCTTGCTCAGACAACGACAAGGTCGATGTTTGCATTCTTTCTCCTGAACAAAAAAAAATACTTTTTTGTTTATTTTTTCAATATTAGTTCATTTATATTTTTTTCCTAGTATATAACTTTAATATTTCGTGATAGACAATGTTGACCAATGTTTACGTCACTTTCTCTATACTCCATAACCAAACGTTTCCATAGCAACATCTTCAGAGTACATGGAGTTTCTGCAGTGGGACAGTCAGGATGTTGCACGATGGGTCACGTCCATAGGATTTCCACAATACAAAGTAAGTGAGCATTAATCTAAAAACAACTTCATAGTGAAGTAATGTTTAAACATTCTAACTGAGTAAGCCAACTTTCATAAACACAAATCCAAGCCATTAAGTATCTAAACTTCAGCATTTCTGGTTACAGGAGTGTTTCACCGAGAATTTCATCACTGGAAGGAAGCTCATTCATATAAACTGCAACAACTTGCCAAAACTCGGAATCACAGATTTTAAAGACATGCAGGTATAAAGAATAGGTAGAAAAATATGTTTCACAGTGAAAGCTAGTCTATGTGGTGTAATATGAGGTAAGTTTCAGCAGGCAGAGCTGTATCTGTATAACATTCATGATGAAATTAAATCAATATTCCATAACCCATTTTATGGCACAATGAAAATTCAAAACTTCCAGCAATAAAAATTATTGGATTCTGGGACAAGACCTTATTACCTTTGTATCATTAAAAATATATTTATATTTTTATGGTAAAAACTGACGTCCTTGTAATAATACAAAACGGCTACTTGCCCTAGTATATAAAAAAATGCCAAAAATGCTTCTATAAGAAACACTCGCAAATTGAAAAAAAAAAAAAAAATTTTTTTTGTTACATCACACCCTTAGAGTAATAATGCTGATACAGGCACTTACATTTTTTTTTACTTTTTTTACTTAGCTTATTAACTTTACTTTTTAACTTTTCATCTAGCTTTTTAACTTTATTATTTAGCTTTTTACCTTCTTTTCTTAACTTGTTAACCTTATATATTATTCAAGGTCTTATCTAATTGGTCAATTAGATAAGTCAGTATCTTTGCTGAATGGCTGGGTATAAATCTTGTGCTTCTAGACCTCACTGAGGGATGTGGGGATCTCGATTTTTAAGGGGTATGCAAGTGTTCAAAAACATCTGACTTTAGTCTGAACAAACAATTACTACAAGCCTCCTCTGAGTGCTCTGCCAGCCATTTTCAGGTGTCTTAGTGTCACCTTGGCGGCATCGCACATCCTGCTCAACTGTGTTTCTTTGCATGATGTGGCATCCAATTAAAGCTGTGGGCTGTAACCAAACATTTCTAGCAAGAATGCATGCCTAAGAATAGCTTCAGCTATAAGCTCTTGGTATGTGTGAGCGGATAAGGAAAAGATGAGTTTGAATTATAGTGCTTTGTATAGCTAATCATATCTCCTGGAGTTTTTTCATGCTGTTATATAAAAAACAGTATGTTTTTGATGTGTTAGAACAACACAAAGTAGTGCTTAGCTGTAAAATAGAAGTTAATGATAGAAATCCAAATATGGAAGGTTAGGCATGAAGATTTACACAGCTCACCTGAGTTATTACATTTAGACATAACTTATGGTCCAAATCCTGCTAAAAGTCTGTTATATGTGTCCACCATTTTATGCAAACAATGAGGCTGATATTGTTTCTCATTCTTGTTTGGGAAAAACAGCTGA